ACTCAGTCTAAGGGATCATAATAGATTTAGTGCAGCTGGGCATGGTGGCTCATGCCTGTAATACCAGCACTTGTGAGGCTGAGGCAGGAGGATCATTGTGAGTTCAAGGTCAGCCTAGGCCACAAGGGAGCTGAAGGCCCGCCTGAACTGCATATCGAGACCCTGTCTTAAAAAAGACAAAAAAAAAGATTTAGTGCAGATTTACCTGGAAGAAAATAACATTTAAACTAAAACCTGAAAATATAATCAATTAGCTGGAGTTAACCTTGATTTAGGAAAAATCTTTCATTTTGAAGAAATGGAGAAACAGGTTAACATTGATGTTCTCACACTGAAATATTCAAACATATTTCATTTTATATCATCATGGGTTAGTCACTCATTAAATATCAATTTTTAAATATTTTAATTAAATTAGGTTAATTTTTAGCACTATAATTCTATTTCAGACTGATTAAAAGATAATCTTATAACAAAGATAATGTTAAAAGATAATATCATTTTTAAAAGATGTTATAAAGAAAAAATTTATATACATAGATTATGTAGAGTAACCTAGCACTGAGAGAAATAATATTTACACTAGGGGATAGGGATGATTTCCAAGCCAATCAAATTTATTAACATTAATTTTTTGTTTTGATATCATTTTGGCATAAATTAGAACAAACTCGATGTCATCATCTACTGAATGTTCTCTCTCTCTCTTTTTCTTTTTTGAGACAGGTTCTCACTATGTATTTCAAGGTGGACTGGCCTCGTTACATAACCCAGCCTGGCCTGGAACTTGCTGCAATCCCCCCTGCCTCAGCCTCCAGAGTGCTGGGATTACAGGTGTTCACTACCGTGCCTGGCCCTGGATATTCTCTTTTGAACCATGACCAAATCTTATTTTTATCAGTGACAGCTAAGGAGAAGAGATGGCTTTGACAGAGAAAATACACTGCCATTCCTTAATTATCAATACCTCACATAAACACAATTCCATATCTTCAAATATGATTACTATTATTACTCTAGAGATTTTTTTTTCTAGGAAGGATCTCACTAAATCACTAAGTTGCCCAGGTTGGGCTTGAATTTATGATTTCCCTACCTCAGCCTTTCAAAGTTCTGGGATTATAAGTATGCACCACAATATAATTTTTTAAAAGCAAACTTAAAGTGGAATGATTACATATATTTAAAACTTACAAAAAATCCATTTGAGAACGTGGCAACCTGGCTCAACCCCACACACTGCAGCAGCCCCAGGAACTCATGTTCTGCTCCAAGTAGAACAATCTTATCCAGGCTGCCTGTGGCCACCAGCAATGGCTATGCTTTTTGCTCTGGTTTTGGGTCCATTTAGGTCCTCATATGAAATGGATTGGAGACTTCATTTTTCAACAGCTAACTAAACTCAGGCATTTTCTCCCTGGAATATTATTTTGTTCTTCACAAAAAGCGGCTATGTGGTAAATCCAGTTAGCTGGTCAGGATCCTTGTGGATGGTAGAAGTTTGAATATCATACCTCAAAAATTATGTGAGTTTAGTGGTAAACCACTTTTCAGTTGTACCATAAATTATATTACTCTTACAGAATGGACTTAAGCCAATTGTGCAGCTATAAGGTGCTTGTTTCCTCTTTCTTACCTTTCAGTAGATCAGCTGGTATGTGAGAGTATTTGGCATTTCTTTTGGAAAAAAATATTCCCCAACAACATACTTGAATGTTAGTTTTAATTTTTTAATTCATGAATAATAAATAGCTATTTAAAAATGAAATGAAACGAGTTTAATGCTTACAAATGTATATTTTTAGACATATTAGAAATGAAAGTCTTTGGTGTTCAGATATGATACCAAGATGAGTAAAAACACTAAAGCGAAGTTTAAGATTATGCAGACTATAACTGTGTGTAGTTTATACAGGAAGGTGAAATTGTATTTAGACCACAGCAGTAAGTGGAGGAGCAAAGTGAAGACAGTACATATGCTTACTTTGGATTTAAAGAAATACCAAATGACCATTACTAAATGTGTATGTGTCTGTGTAGTATGTCTGTATGTGTGTGTGTATATGTATATATATTCATATAATTTACATGCTTTAAATATTTTTTCAAAAAGTCATCATGCCCTTTTCCTATTAGAATTGAGGTGTGAGAACACAGTATTTTTCTATAAGTTCCAAGACAATACGAAGATTTTTCTTTACTCACATATATATAACATAGACCACTGAGTCATTCTTTAGCAGAATAACAACTAGAAGGTAATTTTCACTTCCAGTACATTCAAAACTAGTCAATTCACAAGGTTCATCATGTAATTTATATTTATTGATTTAGCTAAAACTCATTGAATGACTATTAAGTACAAAATCTGTATTTTAAAAAATATAATCTCCCATTCGGACAAGAAATTGCTTCGTCAGACCCATTAAACTTAAAGAAAGCCATAAGCTCACCTTCCCATTTGTTGGGAAGGAAAACAGTATGTGCTCTGTAAAACATTAACATGGGGGCTGGGGATTTAGCTCAGAGGCAAAGCGCCTGCCTGGCAAGTGGAAGGTCGTGAGTTCGGTTCCCGGTACCGGAGAAAAACCAAAAAAAAAAAAACACTAATATGATGACATGAGGAAGAAATTAATTATCTGAAAGGACCCTGCCTTTAGTTTGAATGATCAGATTGAGGTTATGATTATATAATGTTTATGTGAGTAGGTTTACAGACTACCCTTTCTCCTGGACGATTCTTTTCCTTCTTCTTTTGGTACTGAGGATTGAACCCAGGGCTTTCCAGGCCTTTTTTATTTTTTTTAATTTTAAAACAGGGTCCCATTAAGTTGCTATGTGGTCCTGTCAAGGCTCAAACATGCCTCCTTCTGCAGTATTATAAGAGTGGGCCCCTATGCCTGGCTCACCTGATTTTTCTAGGTCCTACACACCCTATCTACCTGGAAACATGGTTTTCCTCCAAATGATATCACCTACCTAATACTCTGAGATCTTGTTTCATTCACAACAAAAGCCTTGCAAAAAATGGAGGAAACTAAATTATGCCACAAAGCAGCTGTCCCTCCAAACTTAGGAAGGAAACCCTATCTATAGAATTACAAAAATAGTTAATATGGCATATTACAAAAATAGTACATATGGCAACATTAACACAAAACTTTAGAGTTAAGCACAATTTTAATTAGGGAATTTATTTTACTCATTGGAAAGGCATTATTATAGGATGGTTGTTAGTCTCTGCTCTCTAAACTATTATAGCAGAATAAAAGACAATTTTACAGAAAAAAAGGATTGAGTTTTTTAAAAATTTTTGTTGTTTTGTGCCAGAAATCGAACTCAGTACCTTGTGTTTACCAGGCAGGTACTGTGCCACTGAACTAAATCTCTAGCCCTTAGAAGTATGTAAGTTTTAAAGCTGCTGCTGCTTTTACATATCTATATGTGTATAGATATAGATATAGATATAGATATACATACTTCCCTTTATCATGTATCTGGCTTTGAACACGAACTTGGTAAACACCCAAGGCCAGCACCAGGCACAACGAATCCCAAAGGCTTCCATTGACACTAGGCCATAGCGTTGGATAGTCAAAAATATCAGGCAGGGTTGGTATGCTTCAGAAGTAGAACGGGAGACACTAGCTAATGTGGTAGAGAAATGTGCCCAGCCTGTATCTCTTAGTAGGGAATGCTGACTTATGGTATAACACATGATAAAAAAGTAGCTCTGATGCACACTTATTAAAGGTGCCTATCACAGTTAAATAACTTGGGCACTGCGTTCAGTGACTTTTAAATAAAACATAATATCAAAGCCTGGGGACGTAATTCCCGAAAAGTTATTTTAATTTTTCCATGCACAAAGGCTTGAGCAAGTTCAGAGAAGCCACAAAAGCAAGCTCTGCATCCTGAAAATTGATTAAAACATAAATCAGATAACCTGTAAGAGCCTTTGGGGAAGGTACACATGAATTCTCCCCTTGTTGCATCTAGGTTATGTGTCTCTTAGGGCTACTATATCTTCCATTTGATCAGCCGCAGTCTCAGAGCAAAGAACTAGAACGAGGTAGGGCGGACAAACAGGAATAATTATCCCCATATCTTTTCAGCACAGCACCTTTGTGAAGGGTATAGCACGCGTGCACACACACGCTTATTTTTTTATTTTTTGGCATGTGTTCCACACTTGACCTTCCTCTGGCCTTAGAAGTATTTGGTATGTTTTCCTCAGTAGCCAGGTTCTAAGGTATCAAACACAGCTGTAGGTAATGGAAGGGACTGGGCAAAAAGGCCACCCACAAGTGCCATAATAAATGGAACGGAAACCAATATAGTACAGAGAATCAGCAAGGTTTGCCTTGGTACTATTCACTCCCCTGAGCCATCTGTGTGGGAAGGCAGAAAAAAAAAACATTGAAAATAAACAAGAAAACAAACTGAGGAAAGGACACTGGTCAGAATCAAATGAAGAAGCCAAGCAGCATAATTCGCCTAGTGGCCAAGCTCCTAGAAGGCGAGAGGTCGAAGAACACTGCTAAAGAATGTTGTCGGGATTTTTATCTCTGGAAGGGACGCATGCACCTGTTGATGTATTTTCCAGGCCCTTGGATGATAACAATTTATGAGGTTATTAAATACTAAGCCCAAGATTTATCAGATGTGCTTTTCGTCTGGGGCCCCATAACATTCGGGTTCCATTGGGTGAAAATAGAGCGTTCTGCTAGCGGAGTTATTCAGAGCATTTAAATCGGCTAATCCTACAAGAACGGTGCATTTAGCCTGCCTATTAGGGAGTCTTCAGGGATTCCTACCAGTCGCGGAGCCCGGCTGGAGGGGGCGGTCCGGCGGTGGGTGGGGCAAGATGGCGGCCGCAGGGGAGGAGTGCGTCCGCGAGAGCAGCCGGGGCTTCTCCAGTCCGTCCGTGCCCGCCGCGGCCGGCGGGGCGGGGCGCGCCGAGGGCGCACGCGCGTGCGCGGGCTCCCGGAAGGGCTGCTGCCGAGAGAAGAGCACAGCGGAGAGAAACGTGAGACACACCTCGGGGGAGACGCCGAGAGCGACATGTCAACAAACACAGTTCATCAGGTCAGAGACATAATAAACGGTGTGAAGGAAAAAGGGAAGGAAAAACAGAGAAAGGGAGAGAAAAAAACAAGATCCAGTCAATAAATCCATTCAACAGATGTTTTCCCGCCGACGGCCAGGACCTGTCTGCCTGGCTGAGGCGAGGCGATGGCAGGGCGCCTGTCAGTTTGAACTGATGGAAACAAACAGACCTTTAACCTCAGGAGTAACGTGGCGCTCTCCTTCCCTCCCTCAGCCCCGCGTCTGGAACCGCCGGTGGCGCTCGATCCTGAAAGCTGTCTGGAGTTTACTTCAGGAAGACTGTTAATAAAATTCACGGACACTTCTAAGAATGACCAGTGTAATAGTTATATTCTGAGGACTTTTCAGTTTTCAAATAACGGTGTATACCTATGATTTTTTTTTTTTTTATGGTTTTCAGGGTGTACCCTGACTAGTATATACAATTATTAGTTTCTTTTATAGAATGTTAGGTAAATTCTCAGTGATTTAACAGTGTTAACTATTCTCCACACTTCAAAAGTTATTAAATCAAAGGACCAAAGTTTAGAAGCTTCTGGAATATTCACTTAGTTCATTCCGTTATCTCCAAGAAAGACACTCTCAAAAACAGTTAATTCAAGCGTCAAAACTACTGATGAATATTTCACTTCTTATCAACATTAGGCCATGAACAGATTCTATACTTTTTTTTAAATATATCTTTTTTACTGAACATGGAAAATACTTAAGAATGACACAAATTATGACCATAAATTGCCACAGATAAGAAAATTGATAGTCCAAACGGTTAACAGTTTTAAAAATATAATTCTTAATTCTTCTCACTTAAAAGATGTGTGTGCTCTTCTGCTTTGATCTACCTGGCTAGCATTTCCTCTTTCAAGACAATGTAAAACTCTCCTTGGAAAATTTTGCTGTAGTTTTCCTGTTAAATTAGTGCCTCCTTAGCACCCAGCATATGTTTTTGCATTTTTAGCACAAGGCGAATCCAAAGTATATGAACCACTCTTTTAAAAAGTTCAGCAAACCACCTATGTAATACAAGTGTACTTTATGCAAAGTAGTTTGTGGTTTTCTGTATATGACAGGAATTAATGGTATATATAAATACGTGAGTTCTGGTGGTCAATAAATATAACAATTTAAATGATTATACAATATAGGCAGAGGTCTCTCAATTTAGAAAAAAATTAATCATTTAATATAACTTTAAAATAGGTTATAATTAACGTATGTGTTGTTACTTCGGTTTTGCTGTGCAGAATAATCATTTGTTGTGCCCTCAGACTGTAGGCATTTGCTTTGATAATTAGGATGGTTTGGTCAGTGATACAGTTTTACTTATAATAGGCTTAACACCTTACCAAGAGACTAACTCTCTTGTTTTCTCGAGTGTTCAGTGACCAGAGAATAAGCCTTCAACCGACCTACCCCCTGTGAAACTTATAGAGAATACAAATAAATAATTATGACTTGAGGGGTTTCAGGAAAAGGAAACTTTTCTACATCTGATCTAAACTGCATGGGGGCATATTTGCCCGAATGTTTGTAATATCCATCTTTTCTCATTCTTCTTTCTGTAATCTCTTTAACCTTTATCTAATACAATGCAAAAGGCTAATTGAGTACCTTTCTAATACCAACTAGCTTTATTACTTGCTACAAGAATTCCCCTCCTGAAGCCCTACTGTAAGCCAAAGATCTCTCTCTCTCTCTCTCTCTCTCTCTCTCTCTCACACACACACACACACACACACACACACACACACACACAATTAAAGTCATTCAGGCCCTCATTGACTCTCATTTTTAGCTTTAAATGAGGTTAATTTGCTAGGCTCGAGTCCATGTACTATCACCTGTACGCAAATGTCATCCCTCAAGTTGCCTTATGACTTTCATGGGTCTTGGGTACTTCTACCTTCTTGGTCCCTTGCTCAAAAAAAAAATTAAATATTAAAAATTATATTTTATGCCTACATTGGATTTAATAATATATTTTATTATTAATTTCATTTTTCATTTTTTAATTTCATTGATTAGGAAATTAAAACTGAAAATATTTTGTGGGTCCCTAAAAGCATCATTGGCTTAGGATACCATGTCCATTATGTGTAACAGATAAGCTTACTCTGATCAGTCTAGCTTCCACCAGCCCATTCTTTCTGTACTCCCTTCTAGGGGCCAGACAAAACAACTGCCAAAGAACAGCATCTTGAAATGAGGGTTGGAGCCAGAGACAGTGAAGGAAAAGTTCCAGTGATTTGAGGGATTTTTAAAATACTTTTATGTGGTTTCCAAGTTTCCTGCCTATCATATCTATTAAAACTTTAATTAAGAAAAATGGTAAATGTTTAAACTAAATAGTCAAATCTTTCAAACACTTCATTAGAACAGATTCATAATCACTGGTGCTACAAGAAGACACGAGTCAAATATTTTTAAACCATCTTTTAAATAGAACTAAAGAAGAGAGAAAAACTTGTTCACTTCAAAAATAGTTGACTGGAATCATGTACTTTTAAAATTAAGGACCCTCCTCCCCATACTGGAGATTGAACCTAGGAGCTCCACATGGAGCTACATCATAGCTCCTTTAAAAAAATTGGAAAAAGATATTGCTACATTGCCCAGCTAGGCTCAAACTTGAGATCCTCCTGCCGCAGCCTGTCAGAGTACTGGAATTACAGGCGTGCTCCACTATGCCTGGCAAGTGTGGCTTTTAATGAAGAGGGAGAGTTGTAAGAATCCAGGAACTATGTATTATTACAGTGCATATTCATCACTATGATATTAGAGAATGCTAGGACACTTGTATTTCAGAAGGGTATCTTCAATAATAAAATGTACCTTTCCTAAAATTGAAAAATGAGATTACATATTTTTCTATTATGACTGAAACAGGCTGAATTGTTTCATTAAATATTTTTTTCCTATCAGCAACTTTTAATAAGAGAATTTCATTTAGGGTTTTTTTGTACATCTAAGAACATGTTTTTTCCTTGTATTGTCAGAAACTTAAATGTCAAATGTCAAACAGTTTAGAACCTTTAGCTATTAAGACTTTTATGTCTACCCTAATTTACATGTCTTTTACTAAGTACCATTGGAAAATGTGTCATGCCTCTAGGTAAATAATAAGCATGGCACCCTCATAACACTTTTGATTAAAATATCTTTTAAATATACTAATTGAGTCTGTTTCATATTTTTTTTTTCAGTTGACTTAATTGGGGACTTGATTTTGATTGATTATTGTGTTACTCTCAGTTTACTGAGATGCATAAAACAAATTTTCCTCATGTAGTGGCCCACTGTGCCTCAATATCATTTGTCCCCCCACCCCACTTGGCAAAGCTAATAAGTTATTTTCACAGAAGTGTTACTATGGACCTACTTTATGAAATCCTTAGAACTACCTACTAAGTATCAATGCCATAGTGGTCCCTGTCTTTCTAAATTATGGATAATTGGTTCTGCCACCTATTTAAAAATGGACACAAATAGCTATTACAGATCTTTATATTATAAGCACAACATTCTGGTTTATGATGAAAGATTTATTTGGAGGTACTTTGCTATGGAGATTATGAAATTTTAAATCCTTGCATTAGGAAGATTTCAAGTTTCTATTTTTTTTTTAATAAGAGTGATTTTCAATTTCTTTCTGTTGTGGTGTCTTCTTGTTATAGCTCAGAAAGTTATTTTATGGCTTCCAGGTTTTTACTTTGTTCTGAGTGGTTTTGTTCATTTCCAGACACGTGGGTGGTTACTCGTGGGCTATAATCAATATCATGCAACTCTGATGAGAGCAAATAATAGAAATCATGTTTAAACTTTGAAATAATCAGAATTGTTTGAGGTTTCATAAAATACAAGACTTAAAAGAAAAAAGATCATGGAACAGTAATTACCAAAAAATCGAGGTTTCAATCTTAAATTCTATTTCTGGAGTGATTTCTTTCAAGACTATGCCCCTCCTTGTTTGGTGTTGAGTAAATTGAATTTATTTTTGCTTCATAGTGCTTTGATTTTCAGAATTATTGCTTTTGCAAAAAAGTTAGAATTATAAATATCCCTAGCATTTATCTTGTAAGATGCCAGGGGCATTTACATATTTAAAGTGTCTCTATTATTCAGGATGAGTGTAGAAATCTTGGTTAATTTTAGACTTCATGAAACTACACATGCATGTTAATAATTTAAGAGTAACTATTAAATAAATAGAAATAATATGCATAAGTCTAAGGTAGACAGAAAAAAAATTCAAAAACCAATCCAAGAAACAGTCTGAAAATAAATGGAGAAAAATGAAGAGTTCAAAAATGCCTACAAATATAAATCACAAAGTGAGTTGCTAGAAACAAATCTTCATATATCAGTAAACACAGTTAATATGAATGTACTCAACTTGCCAGCTAAAAGACTGAGGCAGCCAAATCCCTCTGGCAGAGCTATGCTAAATGTAAAGGTTCTATGAAGACATATAAAGCAAAGAGTAACATAATACAAGAAGCAAAATCCTTGTACAGCCATATGATAAAAAAACCAAATAGATGTTAGGACAAAAATAATCAGAAACCATACAAAGGGCTCTATAAAACAATACACATTTTCATTGAAAAGGGAAAAGTCCAAACTTGTAGGTGCCTAAAAACGTGGATTCAAAATATAAAAGCAAAATGTGGTATAACCATGAGAAAAACCTGAAAAATCCATATCATGGAAAGGCTATATAACAAATTCATTATAATAACTATTAAATTTATGAAAGATTTGAATAGCCTACTTCACTACATTGAAGATATATTGAATTGTCAGCCTATAGCCATCCTTTTCAAGCACATGAATAATGACAAAATTGACTACTACTATAAAACAAGAGTCAACAAACTAGAGAATTAGTATCTTTTACAAAGACAGGAAAATTTTACACATGCTATATTATGGAGAGACCTTGAGACATTAAATTAATTGAGAGAAAACTAAAAATAAACAGGAGCAAAAAATCTGACCAATATTAGACACAGAAAATGCCTAGTGAATGGAATATTACAGTGATCCAGGAAATATAATCAAGTAATCAAGAAAATGCACATTAAAAATCATGACATACTGCTTTTTTCCTCATCAAAGTGGTCAGAAGTTTAAAGAATAAAGTCAAGCATTACTGAAAATATCACGAAAAACTCAGACTGCTTTTAAGTGAATAAACTATTATAAACAATTTAAAGAACAATTTACTAACATTTAGTAAAAATGAAGATGGCCAGTAAACTATAGGAAAAATTGTGAGTAAAAGCAGCAAGGAAAAGATAATACATAAAACAGTTACTTAAATTATTCAAGTTAATATTATATTAACTACAAGTGACACTATAAATAAACCTGAATAAAAATAATGCAATTGTTAAAAAAAGAATATAGCAAATTCAGAAGAGAATAGGCAGGACATGCAACTTAAGGGATACATACATAAAACGTCACTTGTATCTGTAATTTTTGTACATAAATTTTATTTTTATACATAAAACGTCACTTGTATCTGTAATTTAATTTCTTAAACTGGATGTTATGACTGTTCATTATAATCTTTATCATATATGAATACATTTTATATTTTAATAAACTTTGAATATTCACTAATTAAGAAGAGATGGGAAAATGACTAAATAGAAGTATACAGTACTCATCCACCTCTGAAAAGAACCAAAGCAAAAGTTTACAGCTGCATGTTGAGGTGAGTGATTGTGTACATTGGCTTTTCCTCACCATGACAAAATCCCTGACATAAACAACCTATAGGCAGAAAGGTTATTTTGGCTCTTGGTTTCCAAGGTTCTGTGGTCAGCTGGCTCAATAGCTTTTAGGGCTGTAGCAAGGTGGAAACATCACAGCAGAAGGGCATGGTGGAGGGAAGCTGTTTACCTGATGGCAGCCAGAGAACCAAAAGAATGAGATAGCCCAAGAGGAAAAGGCTGAAGACCAGGCGTAGTCTCCCAAAGTCACACGCTCTTGGTCCAATCCCTTCAACTATGCCCCACATCCGGTTTCCATCACTTACCAGTTATGCCATCAAAATCTGATACCATTAGTAGTTTAAGCATGGATGAAGTTAGAACCTTCATAATACAACCCCTTACCCAAAGCCCATCAGCTACCAAGTTTTTTTTTTTTTTTAGCGCAATGAGTCTTCTAGGGGACATATCATATACAAACCATAAAAGTGATTGTCGAAGAACACTGGAATCAACAGGAGAAAAGTTAAACTTCATAACATCCAGAGACCTGGGACAACAGCATAGTAAGAGAAACAAAATACCCCAGTACCTGCTGCTATAGCTGAAGGAGAAGGAATCTCCCCTCTGCAGGAGTAAAGGTAAGAAGGTTCCACTCCCCTCAGCCATCCACAGGGACATGCTGGAGTGGTTTTGAACAGTGCCATAGCTCTGACTGTGACCTTCCCACAGGGCATACAGACTAAACAGTCTGGAAAGAAACTGCCCAGTGCTGGCCACGTTCTTTCCTCCATTGATCTCAGGAATACCAGTTGAGAGGAATTTTGCCTGAATCCATCCATGACCCATTTCAGCTCCATCGCTGGTAGACAAGACAGCTGGAAAACTCTAGGGGAGAAAAGCTGCAACCATAGCCCTGTACTCATGTGCACATACTCTGGGGGGTGGGGAGGATGCTGAGGTTCCACTTCCAGATGGGCAGAACCACAACAGCATCAAAGAGGAGTATTATAAATCCTGCTTCCACTCCCCCTGTGCAGGTTCCAACACTTGTCACCCTGCACTCTGTTCACACACAGAGTGGGAGCTATGATTCCTATGCTGCCTGCCTACCACCTGAAGGACCTGAGTCACACTATTGTCTAGGCAGAGGACACATTTCAATCTGATAAAAAGCCATGTATGACAAACCAACAGCCAACATCATACTAAATGAACAAAAACTATAAGCTTTCACCCAAAAATCATGAGCAAGCGAGGATATCCACTGTCTCCACTCTTATTCAACATACTCCTGAAAACTTCAGCCAGAGCAGTTAGACAAGAGAAAGAAATAAAAGGAATAACAATAGGAAAGGAAAAAGTTAAAGTATCATTATTTTAGATGACATGATTCTCTACATAAAAGATGCCAAAATCTCCACTAAAAAAATCTTCTAGATTTAATAAGCAAATTCAGTAGTGTAGCTGGATACAAAGTCAACACTCAAAAAATCAATAGCCTTCCTGTACACAAATACCAAACTCATTGAGAGAGAAATTAGAAAAGCAATACCTTTTACAGTAGCATCCAAAACAATAGAATACCTAGGAATCAACCTAATGAAGGATGTAAAAGACCTCTACATTAAAAAATGCAGTACTCAGAAAAAGATTGAAAAAGATATCATAAAATGGAAAGATAATCCCTTGCTCTTGAGTAGGAAGAACCAATACAGTGAAAATGGCCATATTTCCAAAATTGTTGTACAGATTTAATGTTATTCCAGTCAGAATTCCAGCAGCATACATCATAGAATTACAGAAAATAATCCTAAAATTCATTTGGAACCAGAAGAGACCTAGAATACTAAAGGCAATTCTGAGCAACAAAGGTGAGGCAGGGGGCATCACAATCCCTGACTTGAAATTATACTATAAAGGTACTGTGATAAAACAGCATGGTATTGGCAAAAAAAACCCACCAGACTCAAAGATCAGTCGAACAGATTAGAAGATGCAAAAACAACTCCAGACATACTCAGCCACCTTATCTTTGACAAAGGTGCCAAACACATTCATTGGAAGAGAGATAGCCTCTTTGATAAATAGTGCTGGAAAAACTGGCTCTGCACATGCAGAAGATTAAAATTGGACCCATATCTTTCACTATGCATTAAACTTAATTTGAAATGGAACAAAGATCCAAATATTTAAACAGAAACATTGAATCTACTGGAAGATAGAATAGGTAAAACTCTTGAACACATTGGTGTAGACAAAGACTTTCTGAACAAAGCCCCAATCACTCAGGAACTATTACAAAGAATCGACAACTGGGATCTCATCTTATACAAAGCTTATGCACAGTAAGAGAAACCACCAACAGAGTGAAGAGACAACCCACAATGTGAGAAAAATGCTTACCAGCTGTTCCTCAGACAGAAGATTACTATTGTGAATATATAAAGAACTCAAAAAAATCAGACCTCCCAAGTTTAAAGATGCAATCGAAAAAAGGGCATCTGAGATGAATACACATTCCTCAGATGAGAAAATACAAACAGAAAATAAGTATATGAGATGTTCAACATCACTGGTCATTCAAGAGATGCAAATTAAAACAACACTGAGATTCTGTCTCACCCCAGAAAGAATGGAAGTCATCAAGAGATCAATAACAAATGCTGGTGGCAGAGCGGGGAAAAAGGAACCCTTCCCCACTGTTGGTGGGAGTATAGACTGGTGCAACCACTGTGGAAATCAGTGTGGAGATGCCTCAAAAACCTAGGACTGGAGGTCCCATTTGACCCAGCTATTCACCTTCTGAGTATCTTTCCAGAAGACTTAAAAACATCATCCCATAGTGATATATGTGCACCTATGTTTATAGCAACAGAATTTCTAATAGCTAGATTTTTGAAACAACCCAAATGCCCATCAACTAAGGAATGGTTTAAAAAAATGTTGTCTTTTTAAACAATAAAGTACTACTCAGCCATAAAGAAGGATAAACTGGAGACTTTTATAGGTAAATGGATGCACCTTGAGACCATACTCATAAGTGAAATAAATCAGATGCACATGTGCAAACATCATATTGGCTCCCTAGTGTGAGAAACTGAGTAAATAAGATCCCAAATACTATGTTCATAGCAGCACAATTTGTAATTGCTAAAATGTGGAAGCAACCCAAATGTCCATCCACCGAGAATTGGATAAGAAAATTGTGGTACTTTTATAGAATGGAATATTACTCAGCTATAAAGAAAGATAAACTCGAGGCCTTTATATTTAAATGGTCACAACTAGAGACCATACTCATAAGTGAAATAAATCAAACATACATGTGCAAGCACTGCATTGTTTCACTAGTGTAAAACTTGAAAGAGTTAATTTAAACTCGGAGGTATGATAGACACTGTGAAATGATAGGAAACCACTGAAGAGTAAAGGGCTTCTGGGATGTGGGAAAAGAGAAGGGAAAGAAGGAGAAATTTTGTATGTATGTATATACAGGATAGTTAACATGGTTGTTCTTCTGTCTTCTATTTCTATGCTGAAAGAAACTGTCAATGAGTCTTTGGTTGACCAGTATTGCATGTTTATATCTGTTTTCATGAGAAGCCACTTTGAAGATATCAATATGTAATACAACCACCATTGTTAATTCCCTACCACTTTGTTTGTAACTCTGTATTGTCTGTATTGTGCTTGTGATATGTTGTAAAATGTTGTATGTCTGTTAATGTTTCCCTCCTTTTATCTTTAAAATTAAAAAAAAATAAGATCCCAAATATACAATAGATATTCTAAAATGGGAAGAAACTACTCAAAAGGAAAAAAAAAAAACTGGGATGGCAGAAAGAAGAAAAGAAGGAAGGGAAAAGCAATATATATATATATATATATATATATATATATACACACATATATATAATACAAAATAGTTAAGATAGTTATTATGTTAGTTACTATTAATTTCTCTTAGTTCATTGAAAAGAAAGGTTTGTGCTAATATTGTTTGGATAACTAAATGCCTATATCTTGTACTTTCAGTAACTAATTTAAGGATAACAATACACAATATGTTAACCATTGTTACCCTCCTATTATCTTGTTTTGAAATTCTGTTTCAATTTTTTTCTCTTTAAAATAAAAATACATATTGACTGAAGTATATTAAAAAAGCAAGACCCAATAATATACTGCCTACATTGAGTTCACCTTGCCAGTATATAAATTATACAGATTATGCAAATACATGGAGATTGAACAACACACTTTTGAACAAACAGTGGATCTCTGAGAAACTTAGAAAGGAAATTAAAACATCTCTGGAAACAAGGGAAGGTAAGCATGCTAAAGGCTGAAACCTGTGGGATGCAGCAAAAGCAGTACTAAGAGTGAAGTTTATAGCAGCATGTGCCTATACTCAAAGAAATTAAGAAAGATTTCAAATAAATATGTACATAATGCATCTCAAGAACTTATAAAAATTAATAAATGAAACCCAAAATTAGTAGAAAAAATAATACAAATAAGAGCAGAAGTAAATGAAAGAGTAGAAGATATAATAGAAATTATCAATAAATCAGAAGGTTGTTTCTTTGATAAAGTAAGTAAAATTAACATCTTCAGCTAGACTAACTAAATAACAAAATAAAATAAATATAGAGAAGAGTCATTACAATGGATACCAAGATAGAAAGTATTATTAGGGATTATTTTGAAAACCATATGTTAACAATTTGGAAAATTCAGAACAAGTGGGAAAAGTTTCGGATACCTCTGACCTAACAAACCCGAACCAAGATGATGTTTTTAAGACCTGAATATACAAATAGCAAGTAATGATATTGAATCAATAATAAAAAAGCTTTCCAACAATGAAAAGCCAAGGACTGTATATGTTTACTGTTGAATTTTACCAATTTTTAAAGTAACTAACATTGCTTCTCAACTATTCCATACAATTTAAAGGAATAGGAACTCTTCCAAACTCTTTCTGTAAGGCCAACATCGCTCTGTTACCAAAACCTGACAAGTATACACAAAAAAATGAAACTGCAGACCAATAAGCTTGTTTAACATAGGTACAAAAATCCTCAACAAAATGATAGAAATTGGATTCAGCAGCACATCACAAAATCATATACAGTGGTCAAATAGGTTTCATTCTGGTGATATAAGGATGGTTCAATACACATACATAGTATATTACAAAAGTAAAATGAAAGATAAAACTCACATAATCATCTGAACAGATGCAGAGAAGCAGTTGATAAAATTCAATATCTTTGCATGATAAAAGCCCTGAATAAATGAGGTAAAAAAGAATCATACCTAAACATTTTAAAAGCTGTAAATGACAAACCCAGGGCCAACAAACTGAGTGGTGAAGAGCTGAAAGCATCTCCTGTAAGAGTAGGATAAGACAAGTGTATTTACTCTCATAGTTCTTGTTCAATTATTGCGTAAGTTTTAGCCAAAGCAGTCAGGCAACAGAAAGAAATCGAAGGCCTACAAACAGGAAAGGAGCAAGTCAAATTATCCCTGTTTGCAGATGGTATACACAGAAAAATCTCAACCAAAAGATTGTAAGAACTGATAAGCAAACTTAGTAAAACGGGATACAAAATAAACATAAAAAGTCAGTAGC